GGGCACATCTATAATACTTTCAACAATAAAGATGTATTTAAAAATAAAATTAAAATAAAATCAGCTTTTGCAGTTAGGGTGTATTATTTGCAATTTATCTGCTTATATTTATATTCTGAATTTTTATAAATTTGTCCCACACATAGCCAACTTGGAAAGAACAGCAAGGAAATTCAGTTTCAACTCAAATTCACTAGGAGAATGTCGAAGCCCAGATCGGGACGCTGCGGCGGAGAAACATGGACTCGGCGTCCGCAGCGGAGCAGTGAGGTTGTCGCCTTGTGCCCTTTAGCATCACCCGATCAGCTCCTCGTGGTTTTTTGGTGGTTTCCAGCCATGTGTGTTCCTAAATAACTGACCTCTTCCTCTTAATATGACTTGAGTGTGGTCTCTGTACTTACATATCCAAAAGAATATAATTTAATAAATGGTTTATTATAATAGCATAAAGAATAACAAAAAAAGCAAGAGGAATATAAGAAAAAAGAGGCAAGCAATCTGTTACAAGAAAAGGGAACCTGGCATTTTCTTCAATGTTCAGTTTGAAGAAAACATACACCTTGTTTCTTGGATCTGCTCGGTGACTCCATCGAAAAATCTCTCTTTCCGGCATATGGCTTGAACTAACCCACTAACTTTCCAGCAGACTAATGTCTCCACCCAGCTACTCATTCCAGAGTTAGAGTTATTGAGTCGAATGCCTTGGCCATTCTAAGAAAATTCCACAAGTAACAATTACTGTACTTGGCAGGAAGCCTGGTAATACCCGGCTAGAACTTTATTATTTTGCTGATTTAAAAATACATTTTTAAAATATTTGCAGATTTATTGTGACTTAGGAAAGTGTATGATCAAAATATAAAGTGAAAGAAAAGCTCAAAGAAGTAATTTAGGTTAATAAATAGGTAATAATATTTCAAATCAGTATACTATTGAACTATAATCTAAATATAATTGAGTCCCTGTCCCCAAATGGCCTATTCTTGAATAACAAATAAAAGTAATTGGAATCTTTACCAAGTCTCTTGGTGGGGAAAGATGCCTAAAGACAAATATTGTATTCTTAATATAAGCCACATGACTTAACATTCTTTTTTTTTTTTTTTTTTTAAAGCTTTCTTAGTCTTCATCTTTACTCAACTCAGTCCCTTAAAATGGACCTCCCACTGTCACCCTTTCTCCCATCTACCTCCTTCCAGGAGAGGGACCCTCCGACCAGCCCCTTACCAACAGCTCCAGCGGCCTACAGAGGCTTTCCGCAGCGCCTGCAGCCCTATGTCAAGCTCATTCTCACTTTGTGCTTTGACTGTTTTTCTCATAAGAATTATCCCATCACCCAAAATCTGCATAGAAAATAGTGATCCAACCTGTAAGAATTTTTTTCCCCCATGGAAGGAAACAGAGGGCTGAAGGAAGCATAGATATTTGCAAAGTAACTATTTTCTCTGTTACTTTGCCCCATTTGATTTTTAAGTACCACTATCGCGAGGAGAATGCCATGTGTGTTTGCATAACTCACCACCACCACTCATCACACTCCAGTTTGCTTTTCTTCTTTGTTTGGGTTAGACAGGCTTCCCACCAGGCAATCTGGAAAGCGTGCTATCCTTGCGTCCACCTAAGCGTCTCCTGGAATATTGGAAAGGAAATGCATCAGCAGTAGGGTTTTAATGCTCACCCACCCTCCCAGGGTCCTTGTTTTCATAACCTGTGAAGGAAGGTAATTCCACAGAATTCTTTCTATTACATGGGCACTGGATGACCTGCACAAACACAGCTGAGATAGTATGCAACCAAGCCGAGCCACCAAAGTTTTGGGGAATTGGCCCAGAAAAATTTTCCTCCCATTCTGGGTGCTATAAAATATAGAGAGTTGGGTAGCTGAAAAATCATACTGAAGTTAAATAAGAAGGAACACTCCCCACCTTGGCGCTCCCCTGGCAAGACAGGGGCGCCTCAGGATCAGAACCTCACTTGAACACATCCGCCTTCAAGACACTGAGTCAGCCTTGCCTCACCCTTTCCTCGAGTCTTCTCCCGACCTGGGGTTTAGGCTCACTCATCAGCAATGCAGGGGCAGTGACGTTCATCTCTTGGTCCACTTCAGCCTGTTTAGCTTTACTAATCACAAAAATTTAGGGGGCTTCTGGTGGACTGTAATAAAGTTGGAGCCTATTTAATGTTTCCTAAGATTTTTAACAATTCTTTGTGATTAATCCTTCCCTGAGGAACCTGATCTAGCCCATTCTGAGCCTATATCATACTCTATTGCCCCCTAGAGGGTAACGCATTTCAGTGGTTTCTGTAGGAATGCAAAAGCAGAGCTTTTACCACCTTACAGTTATAAACTTGACATAGGAATTCCAGGAACTCTCCATCCTAAGTCACTCTAAAGCAGTGGGGAAGTCCATTATGAAATGGAAAGTACCGCTTGACTTTGAACCCACTGGAACTATAGAGAACATTTTTTCCGTCTCCAAGGAGGTCTACTAAAGCAGATTTCAACCATTCACTAACCACACCTAAAATTCCGTTTCTTCAGTTCCTGGTGAGACAGCTCCCTTGAATTTCTCAAATTCCTAGTAGCCAGCAGGTTGTAATAAGAAATCCAGAAACTGTATGACTTTAAGTCTCCCAGTGGAAGCCATGTTCTGAGGACATGAGGTTTGTGAGGGGGGCATAGAGAAATCAAACTAATTTCCTTTCTTTTAGAAATTAGTCCAAGAAATTGAGAGTCTGCTGAGAATGAATTAAAAACCAAGCTTCTAGATACCTTCACTACAATGCTGCATAAATCTGGTTCTTCATTTAGAGCATCCTGTCCCCAAAGTAACATCTCCTCAACGTATCATTGGCTTTTGCTATTACTCTAAAGACCATTGGCACTTGCTCTGGTACCATTTTCTCCTTCGTAACTATTCTTCTAATAGCCTGTCAAGCATGGGGTAAGCTTTTAGCTCTGGCGATTATTATATACTAGACTCCAAGTTTCAAAAACTAGTCCCCCAAACATGTAACTCAAACAGAACCTAAGCTCCATACTAACTCAGCAGGATGTCAATTCAATAAACAATAGTCAACTATCCTAATTGTCATAAGGCAATCAGAAACTTTACTCAGCCATTTACTTATAAATATGTAAATGAGGAAACTGTGTCAGTTTGTTCTCACTTATCACTTGTTTAGATAACTGATTATTAGTACAGAGTTATAGCAGGGTAAATATGTATTGATAAATAAAACAGTACCTTCTGTCTAAGTTTATTCCTTGCTCCTATAGCCAGTTGTAGGGGATATTTTTCCTTTTTGAAAGCAAGACTATAATGGAGACACTATTGGATTGTGTACGTAAGTGTCAGCACAAAGTCAACTGTAGCAATTTGTGGATTTCCTCTGTGGTTTGCTTGAAAGATCACTAAATGATCATTTAACACTTCACGTATGAAAATATCACCATTTGGATTGCAGCTGGAGCCGCTCTTAGTGGCCATGATGCCCCAAAACAAGTCACAGCATTTTTAAGAGCCCTAACATCTAACTCAAATAGAACCTAAGCTCCGCAATTTAGTGTTACGATCATCTTAAAGTATTTCTTTTCCTCATCTTGTTCACAATTCACCATGCAGTCATCGTTGAGCTGCCCAAACACCATTCCTAACAAAAGGCCGCTCATAAAGTAACCAGTCCTAAGAAGATGTGAATAACTGCTCAAACGAATTATTCAATTTACAAATAAAAACTTAAACAGAATAACTCTAAAATTATTTAGTCTACCATAAAACTGCGTTGTTTACAATTAAGTTACCTTTACCCTTTCAAATTAAGAAACATGTAGGTTTTGGTACCTGTAAATGTGAGGGCTCCACTAAAGCCAGTTTGGTGTGGTCAAATGTTGGGCAAGATTCCCCATTCACCTCTGCCAAGACCCTGTTATTTTTGTGAGATTAAGGTTCCAATTGCTTCAGCTCAAGACCTCTCTGGAGCAGACACTCTGCTATTCTGGTTAAATTATGCCCATTTCTTTCCCAAGTGAGTAAATACTTAAGTTCCCATGCTGAGACAGCTGAAGTGACTTTTCATTTGGCACACTGATTCTGGGAGTGCAATACATGTTTGTTGAAACTATGCTGGGCTGGGACAGTATTTTTATGATTGTGACTTATTAACACGTATTGAGAACAGATATTGTACTTGGTCCACACACAATACATAAAGGATATCATCATTCCTACAGATGGAAATAAGGAGCTTGGATGACTATATTATTGATGCAATTTATATCCTTATGGAAATATAGTTCAGTTGGGAAGACAGATGTTGGACAGGTAGTTACAAGTGAGGCCAGGTTTACAAAGAAGTGCAGTACACTGTGCCTGTGCAAAGAGATGAAAAGTGTCTACAGTGAACATTACAAAATGCTGCTGAAAGAAATTAAAGAAGACCCAAATAAATGAAGTCATATACCATGTTTATGGATTGGAAAATTCATATTGTTAAAATGAAAATTGTCCCCAAATTGATCTACTGATTCCATGCAGCCTCAATCAGAATTCCAACAGTTTTTTAGGTAGAGATTGACAGGCTGTTTCTAAATTGTATATGGAAGTGCAAATAACCTAAAACAGTCAAAGTGTTTTTGGAAAATATTATAAAATTGGAGGACTTTCACTACCTGATTTCAAGACTTACTATAAAGCTGCAATAATCAAGACTGTGGTACTAGCATAAGAGTAAGTAAGCAGAGCTGTGAAAAAAAGTCAGGGAGCCCAGAAACACGCGAGCACGTATAAGGTAAATTGATTTTTGACAAAGGTGCCTAGGGGCATATTGGGGGGGAAATATAGTCTTTTCAACAAATAGTGCTTAATCAACTAGATATCCATGTGGAAACAAACCAACCTCAACTCCTACCTCATGCTATACTCAAAACTATTCTTAAATGACCCATAGACCTAAACATAAAGCTGAAATTATAAAGCTTCTAGAAGAAAACATGGAAGAAAATATTGTGAACTTGGGCTAGAGAAAGATTTCTTAGGATACAAAAACACTAACCATAAAAGAAAACAAATTGATAAAGTGAATTTTATCAAAATTACAAACTCCTGTTCTGCAAAAGACATCATTAAAATATAAAAAGGTGCCCGGCAGGCATGGCTTAGCGGTTGAACATTGACCTAGGATCCAGGAGATCATGGTTCGATTCCCGGTCAGGGCACATGCCCGGGTTGCGGGCTCGATCCCCAGTAGGGAGCATGCAGGAGGCAGCCGGTTGATGTTTCTGTCTCACTGATGTTTCTGTCTCTCTCCCTCTCCCTTCCCCTCTCTCTAAAAATCAATTTTAAAAATATTTAAAGAAATAATAAAATAAAAAGGTAAGCCCACAGACAGAAAATATTTAAAATACATGTCTCATATAAATCTTGTATTCAGAGTGTATAAAAAACTCCTATACCTCAATAAGAATACTATAAAACACTAAAAACTGGGCAAAAGATTGGAATATATATTTCACAAACGTGTAACACATGAAAAATAGCACATGAAGGAAATGCTCAAAGTCATTAGTCATTAAGGAAAAGAAAATTAAACAACAATGAGATACCACACTTCACACCCAATGGCTAAAATGGGAAAAGATTGAAATATCAGAGGTTGGCAAGGAAGTAGAACAATGGGAATGCTCTAGGTGGCTGGTATAAATGTAAAATAATACAAATATTTATAAAAATATTTGCAAGTTTCTTATAAAATTAAACATGTACTTCCTCTAAATGTATAGCAATTGTACCTCTAAGTATTTACCAAAAAGTAATAAAAAAAATATCCATGGAATAATTTGTAGGTGAATGCTTAATAACCCCAATCTGGAAAACAAACAAACAAACAAATTATGTTATGTTCGTAGCATAATACTACTTATTAAGAAAAACAAATGAACTGCTAATTGAGCGACAGCATGGGTGAATCTTATTGACATGCTGGGCAAAAGAAGAGACACAAATGGGTATCTGCTGTATGAAGTTCTACTGTAGATAAAACTAATCCAGGCAGAAAGAAAATCAGAACTGTGGCTTCCTGGGGCAGGGGTGCCCCATAGGAGGGCTCATAGGAACTTCATGTTAGGATGGCCTTACTCTGCCTTGATTGTGGTGTCATTTACAATGGCATATACACCTGTTAAAATACATCACACTACACACTTGAAAGTTGTGCATCTTATTTTATATAAATTATATCCCAACAAAGTTGATTTATTTTTCAAAGAATCTTCCTGCCTCAAAGTTACATAACAGGCATTTAAAAAGTTTAAAAAAGTCCTTTTTTCCATTATTATAGAAAATGTCTTACTACATGATTGTCTATCACAAAGTCTTTGCTGACTTTTGAATTCTAATGTCCAAGTAACAAGTAGTAACAACAGTTAGCATCTACTTAGTGCCTAATATAAACTAGATTCTCTGCCATACACTTACAAACATTTCATTCTCACAACAACCCTGCAAGATAAGTCTTATTACCTTCATCTGGGATTGAGAAATCCAAGTCTCAGAGCAGTTAAGTAGTTTGTCCAAGAATACCCTGTTAGTAAACAGTAGAGGTAACAGTTATCCGAGGGCTGTCTCCATCACCCATGTTCTTTCTACTTGTCACCTCCAGTTAATTCATACGTCACACTTATCCCAAAGCCATTTTCCCATGGGCACTAGGTAAACAGCCATTGCTAGTCTGTTCACTTAATTGGCCTGGCCACAATCTCCTTGTCATGTTATCTTTCATGTGTTACTCATTTAATAATTATCCCAATAATTAAAACAGAGAAAGAAAATCTTTGTCCTACTTCACATGGCAAGAGTTTAATGTGGTGTTTATAACAGGGTAGACCTAGGCTCATAATCTAACTTTGTCAATTTTTAACTGATCCTATTGCTTAATCTCTCTAAGCTTCTATTTCTTACATGAAATCAAAGTATTAATAGCCACCTCACAGGCTTGTTGTGTGGTAATACATCTAACTTTGCATTGTGCTAGGAACATAGTAAATGACAAGAAATGAAAACACTTGTTACTAACGAGAAGATAGATATTGTTTGTTGGAGAGGCTGCTGGATTGCTTACTTTTCTTATTATTGCATACTTCCTTGTTATTTCCTTCTACGAGGGATCCATTCAGCAAGCCTGAAAAGGCCCTGTGTATTCAACTCGGTCATTTGGACATCAGAGATTCTTTAGCCAAAAATCATTTTCAGGTTGTATACATCCATTTTCCGTTTAATATTTATTTAATATTTCATTTAACATTTTCACTCAAACAATTCATTTAATATTTTCCATATGCTGTTGTATTACAGGCCCTTGTATTACTTGCAAAAATTTATATAGAACACTGAGAATAAAGTATAAAAGATGTATCTTGTTCTCATAAGTAGCCCAGAATAATGGTCAAGCTGTCCGGGGCCATTCTGTGACTTACAGGAGACACAATTCCCACAGACTATGAGCTTCAGGTTTTTCCTTTGTATCTTCCACCTTCTGGAATAGATCCATAAAATAGTAGAAATGTAAGAAAAGCCAATAGGCAGAAGCCAAAGAAACCAATACAAATGTTTATAACAATCTATTAACTATAACTAACTGGGCCTGCTTTAAAAGGCTCTCCTAGCTTTAAAAGCCATTATGTAAAATTCTTTGATTCTTTGCTTAGGGTGTTATATAAGTGAGAGGAAGTAAGATGAAAGAATGGGTAGTATTCTAACAACAGAAAGGGAAAGAAAGATTCTCAAAACTGACCTCAAGCACAATTAGGGAGCAGGTTTTCATCTTCACGGCCCCATCAAAACCTTCCTTCCACTCTCTGCCTCTATTCCAAACATGCAAAACACCCTCAAATGTTCTGAGAACTATCATTTTTATAGGGATGAAAAAACTTCCTTACAATTTGCAATATGTTGTTAGTAATTTGTTGTCTTGCTCCCCCTGGGGCCCCCAAGAAAGCAGTGACCCTTGGGTTAAGTTGAAGCAGAGGGCTGGCTGTGGCGGGCTGCAAGTACTGCCTGTGACAGGTAGATAAGAAAGATGCCTTCGTTAAGCATGAATGTCCTTCTTACTTCTAATGCACCATCTCAGAGGATCATGCCCAGGCTATATTGAATTTAATAACTTTTAGGGTTCCGGGACAGTGAAGCTGAATGCAGGAAGAGCTGAGGAGCAGCAAACAAGCTGGGATGTAGACGCGGAGCATGCCGTACTCTATCAGTTAAAAACAGAAACGACGCAGCACACCCACAGCCTGGAGAACAGTTGCCTCATTGTCATTGGACAGTCCGTCAGGCCCAATCAAATCACTTGGACTTCACTTGTAGGCACTTTTGCCAACTGGCTGATTCCTTATTTTTGTGGTCAATATAACCAAATTACTTTGAACTTTGTTTCACTGAATTTCAAAGACCCATTCTCCTATCATCACTTCACCTCTTCTCATTTCTTCCATTTTTTGTTATAGTTGCTAACACTATTTAATCGCATATGAATATGCATTAAAGACACCAGAATGAAATGCTTTTCCATTCCCCAGGGTTAAGTTCCACTTTTCCATTCCCTAGGTGGCCCAAGGGGATAGGTAACCAAACAAGATATATTTAAAATTCATTATTTCTGGAATTCTCCTACCCAGTCTGTTTACAAATTTTTTTCTTCCAGTCCAGTCTTGACACACAGACAAGTGTGTACCAACTGTCTACTTTTTATATTTGGGTGAATACCTGGAAGTGGTATGTGGCAGAAGACAAGAACGAGAAGGGAACACAAGCACACTGTTAACTTCAAGACTACTCCTCTCCATTTTACTCCAAGTGAAAAGATTCCTGGTTCTTTCTTTCACTCTGTTACCCATTCCGAATGGCCTCTTTAAAATGTGCTCCTTGTGTTGGATGTCATACCTACCTCTCTTCTCAATCATTTTCCCCTTATAGATCTCCAACTTCACATTTTCTTTATTCTACTCTCTGTGATGTTTTCAAACTACATGGCATCAAAGCACATATGAGCGTTAGTCTTTACCAAGGAACAAGATTTATATGAACTTCCTGAGTCCCAAACAAAAGAATTTATGCTCAACCCGGAGTCCTCTGACAATGGCATTAGTGCTCTGGCATTGGCCATTCAGTAACACTGCTATATGGTATGGGCTTTCTGTATAACACTATTTTCCACTTATATGAATTATCCCCAAAATGCAAATACAGTTAACTATCAGGAATATAGCCTTATGACAGACAACTTTCACTTTTTAGGTCAATGGGCCAGACATGACAGTTTAAGTCTTTAATATTGATATTCTAGAACCTTAAAAAAAAGTGACATTATTCCATCTCTCTTCCTCTTATGGTATATGCTGCAAAATTGCCCACAAAAAGAAAGTCTCAAGGTCAAAGTGAAATCAGCTGTGGACCTTACCAAAACTAAAGGTATCTTGATGTAGCTGTAGTTATTTATTCAATATTGTGAATAATAGTTTTGTCATTAAACAGCAAGCATAATGTGTGTCTAGACTATCTCCCATAGGGCTCACAAACACTTTCAATTGTCCCCAATGTGGTAGCCACATGTTTGTTTTCAGCTGGCTGAGTCTTAAGCCAGAGTTTAGAGAAAGTGGAAGAGAGAGAACCAATTAAGTGTCTCTTTAGGATGTGTCACAAAGGGTAATGTGTTTTCTCCCCTAAAGTAAATAAAAGAAAACAAATATTGCACACCATCACTGTTTTCCTTAGCTATTTGTACTCTGATAAGACATTTTTAAGTCTGCTGGATCAAAATTAAAAAAAATTGGTGAATCTCATTCAGCTATAAATTTTGAGAATGAGTGAATCTGTGACATTCATTGATCGCTTATCTGTGACAATTACCATTATGGTATATACTGCACTTCAGAGCATAAATGTGTTCAAAGTAACTGTAAAACAAAAAAATATATATTGAATTTCACTGATAGGAAAGAAGTAAAAGAGGAAAATGACAGTCTGCAAACTCTAGCTCACACGTAAAATACATCCAGTGTTTTAAAGTCCAACTGAAGAAGTTATTCAATTAAATAATAATTATAACGAAACATTATAGTGAATGAATTGAAAGTAGTCAGAATTACTTAGACATTCACAAAAATCAAAGACGTTAAAGCTAGGAAAACTACTTTAGAAAAGATCTGGATTAATTCTTGATTCCTACAGATAACTTAAGAGCCAGGGAAAGTAAATCAGCTGTCCAAAGATACACAGCTTTTTTGTGCAAGCACCAGGATTGGAAACAAGGCTATTTTATCTGAGATCCAGCATAAACTTTCTTGCCTCCACTAGGAGCTGCTGTGGTCGGCCACTCTGACAGTGTGACCTGACCTCCGCAGCAGAGGTCTTCCCTCAGGACCATGTGGTCACGCACCAGCAGTTACAGGCCTCTCTCTTCTGGAACGTGCACTGCTCATGGGTGCACACTGAATCTTTTTCAGCTGAGAGATAATTATACTCTCTCCCTTCCTGCTACTCCTATAATTTGGCCTGTCCATTCAAATCATATACACCTGCTTCTTTTCACTCTATCTTCTCTTTGTGGGTTTGGGGAAGTTGAGAAGTTTAATTTTAACCACGGCATCAAGTCTGTGAAATGACCGCTGGAGATGTCTCTGACCTTCACAGAGATAAATGACACGGCTGACCTGCCATAAGTGGGATTTGAACTTGAATTTTTATCTCTTTGTGACCAAAGATGTTATGTGGTCATGGGCAGGGCAAATCTAACTTGACTCAAAAAGAGCCAAACCCATCACCTTGGACTCAAAATTGTGTGATCTGACTAGCTGAGAGAATCAGCCACAACTCCCTCAGTGCCAGTCAGGGTTCTTTAGGTAGGAAACAACAGAAATTGACTCTCATCAAAGGGACACATTGGAAAAAATGGAAGGAAAAGTCAAAGAACCCGGTGTTGGAAAGTGCTGGCATAACATAGCTCAGGGAATCTGTGTAGCAAGAGCCCACAGACACTTTCTTTGGTAGCAGGGAGAGTGGATGCCAACATTTTTGACCCTTGTATTATTCTGCTCAAGATTCAAATTCTAGGGAGACAACTGACTGAGCCAAGCTCGGATCTCATGACCACTACCTGAAGCCGGAGAAGTCTCATGAATGCTCAGTCAGTCCCACAATTCAATAGGGTAAGGGAAGTTTCCCCAAGGAAAATATGGTTGCTCTGACCAGAAAAAAAGGGAAATGGATGCTGGGCAGACAAGTCAGCAGATGTCCATGACACCAACAAATTGTGGTGATTAAACGTGGAGAGACAGCCCGGCCGGGTGTGGCTCAGTGGTTGAGCATCGACCTAGGATCCGGGGGTCGAGGTTCAATTCCAGGTCAGGGCACATGCCCGGGTTGCGGGCTCCATCCCCAGTCAGGGGCGGGCAGGAGGCGGTCGATCAGTGAAGACTCTCTCATTATTGATGTTTCTATCTCTCTCCCTTTCCCTTCCTCTCTTTGAAATCAATAAAGATATATATTTTTTTAAAAAGTGGAGAGCCAGAGTAACAGAGATAGCTGAATACTGAAGTATATCTAGACAACAGCTCAAGGATGACACCAAAGAAAGGTCATTACAACCCCCTATTGAGTCACAGTTTTAAATCAGGCCATTTAGCAGGGATTTTCCTTTGTAATATCTCCAGCACCGCCCCAAACCTGCCTGGTATGTGAGTAGCCGGTCCATTAAGCATCTCTCTCCTACCTCCCACTCTATCTTCCTACCCATTCCCCACCGCCACTCCCACTCCCTTCTCTTTACCAAAATCTGAATCCCAGCTGTTTCTTTAGCAACCTCTTTGTTTAAATTGGAAGCCCAATCAAACATCATAGGGCTTTTCAACATTTCACAAATGCTGCCTTACCTTTTTTTTTTTTTTTAATCCAAAGTAAAACCTAATTATTAGATGTAAAAAAGAGAGGAACAGGTCAGATAAAATGCTTATTTGGAGCTAGTTGTCCGAGTGCTCACTTAGGCAGACCTGCTCCAGCCCCTGTTCAATGAAACTTCCTGATGGACACTGTAGAGGGGAAACAGGGCTCTTCCCTTCCACTCCAGTACAAACCAGGCCAGCATTCTGAAACACAGACAGGTTTCCGTATTGCTGGCTTTTGTTCCCTGCAACATTTCGCTTTTAGTTATTAAAATATTCACTGTAGGAAACAAATTTGTAACCCATTTCTCATATTACCTACACACACAAAAACAAAATTTGATACCCTGGGGTTTATTTGCTGAGGACACTTCCCATAAAAGGAATGAGTATGCATCGGGAAATGTGTCTGGGTAACTCCTTATGGATAACCGTGAGTCACAATCGGTCCGCCCCCACCCCCAATTCTCGCCCCTAGCGCCCTCCCCACCTCCCGACTTCCCGCCTCTCCAGGGCTGGTGACCTAATAGCATTTTTCTTCATGCATATTTTGGCGTCGCCCCATGGCCTGGCTGCCTTCGCCTGTCTGAGTCTTTTGAAATTCCTGCATGTTCGCCCCAGATTAAACCGAGCGTGTCTCAGGATGTGTGTTCCGTTTTTGTTCTTTCCCCTTAACTCTCCCTGTGCAACGTGTCTGGGGGGAGGAGGGCTGGCCTGGGAGGGGAGGGAGGGGCAGAGGCGAGGAGCTGTCCCCTTGCACGTTTCCAATCGCATTACGTGAACAAATAGCGGAGGGGTGGCCAGGCCAGAACGGCTTGTGTAACTTTGCAAACGTNGTTTAAAATCTCTCCTCCTTCCTTCACTCCAGACACTGCCGGCTCGCCGGGCCGCCGCGCCGCTCCCCGCCGCCTCCAGAGCGCTGGGAAAGCGGAGAGAGGCGGGTGCCACGTCCCAGCAGCCGCCTCCTGGAGAAGGGTCAGCAGCCCACCCTCGGCGCTGCGCGGTGGGGACTACGTACCGGCGCTCCACCGCCTCCCGGGTTGAAGATTTCTCCCTTCCTCACTTGATTTCCGTCCCGTTTCTCTTTCCTCCGATCGTCCTCCCTCAGCGGGGGCGACCCGGGGACGGAGAGATGCGCTTCGCCTGGCCCGCGCTCCTGCTGGGGCCGCTGCAGCTCTGCA